GGTAGCATAATCACTGAAATCCTTGGCACGGTTACATAGAAATAAACATGTTTAAGAGTTCTTTACCAAGAAGCAGTCGAATGTGGGGGGTAAATTTATCCAAGGAAATTCATAATCACCAAATGGAGGACCAAGTTGCACAGAACAAAATCTGCAAAAGCCCGCTCTGGTGCTAAATCCTGCAATTAATGGAATATCACATACTTTAGATTTAAAAAAAGCATTAAAATACAAGTTAAATATGTATAATTGATGACAGCCCGAAGCTTGATCCAACAATAAACTCGCTACGTCTCCTTTAGGTGGGGGAGGACAAGGAAGGTTAAAAATTCCCTGCTCCAATGGCATCTCAAATGTAACTCAAAGGAAATTAATTTGAAATTGGATTAAAAGCAAGAGCACTTCATAATCATTCCTATACATCTCAGTAACTAATTGTTAGAAATAAAACTTGCCTTGAATTCCTTGTTTTCTTTGTTCACTTGAATGCGAAGGCAGACTGTAAAAAAAACAGGAAAAAAAAGAAAAGAAAAAGAGAACAATCAATACTTGATTCAATTCCATACCCTATAAAGAGTGAACAGACTCCACTTACCAGCAAGGACTGCTGTGCCTACACAAGAAAGAACTCCTGAAAGGAATGAGTTGAAAGGAAATGATCCAACAAGAGCCATGTAAACTACCTGCTCATCAGCAAACCATTTCAAAACAGGACAAGGGAATTAGAAACCAAATTTTCTGAAAATACAAGCAACTAAACAAATATAACAAGTGAGAAATTATATCTTCAGACTATGGGGATAGGACCATGCAAATGGCAGAGGTGAGGTGTTCAAACTTAGGAGAAGGGACTAAGGAGTGACAGAACCAGCTCAAAAGATAACAATTATAATCTAACTATTGAATCGTCAATTATCACATTCTAAACTGGTCCTTGTATGGATTGCAGATCATACACGTATTAAAAAGATAAAACAAAAGAAAGAAAAACTGAGCTCCTCCTAATTATCTCACAGATTCAATATAATTATATTCGATAAACTCTCATCAGCAACACTAATTTCAGATAGTAGCAGTCAACTAAGACCACAATCAGTGAACAAGAGGGTGGCAGCCTATTTGGTAGTGGAATTGTAGAAGTTTCTAATTACTTTAAGCCCATCTTAAAATTCATAAACCAATGCTGAAATGTAAACCTGTGATCAAATCAGCTGACTGAACTTGTACAAGATGCTTATATTATTGCCAAGATGGATTCTTTAGACTCAACAATTTTGTCACTCACTGGAATCAGTAACTAGATTGGGAGATGCAGCTACAGCTACTTTCACAAACAAACAAGTGAAATGCGCTTCCAAAAGACAAAAGAAATCGTATTTTGCAAAAAGCCCAAAAAATATCCTAATAAAAAAGGAACTCAGAAATGAAATCATTAACATAGAAGCATATTTAAGCGAATTCAATTGCATAGAAACATGAAATCCAGAAGCCAGGTCAAAAAAAAAACAAAGATCTTGCGGGTGTATGGTATATAATAATCAATCTTACCTGAATCACGGCTGTTAGGACTGCAAAACCCACATAGAGATCAATTATCTGCACACAATAAATTTGACAAAATTGAATGAACTAGGGTCGTTTTTTAACACTGACAATCATGCTTCTTAATACACAGAGAAAAAGAGAGACCTTGAGATTGGTGGGCGTTGCAGCATAAGCAGTGCGGAGGGAATGGAAAAGCGCTTGGGCGTCCTTGCCGCTAGATCTCGCCATTGCCAAGTTGCAATTGCAGTAATCTCACTTCTCTGCTTCTATGTTCGTTCGCACCTTCGAACCAGAGCGGCTTTGGAAGTCTCCTCCACTCTACATTTGTCTCCCGTCTTCTAAGTTCCTAAGGGATAATCCGGTCATTTCGCGTAGCCCATCCTAAATTTTGCTTGATATTTAAATTCTCAGGGCTTCTATATGATATGACTTAAGTATATTTATTATTATTTTTTTTTGGTATGATGATTTATCAAAAGTATTTAAGTTTTTTTTAATTTATTATTTGAGATTGAGATTAAAAAAATAATAATATTAAAAATGATAATAAAAAATTTTAAATATTTTGAATAAATTAATATATAAAAATTTATTTAAAATATTTTAGCAATTTCTTCATAAGTTATGGCATTTTAAATGTTTGCACTTTTTAATTTTCAATTTTCTCTTATTATTTTTTTTATTTTAAGTTATATAATGAGAGATAACCATATTTTATTTCTTAATTAATTATGAATGACAACAGGACTCTATGAGGTTAGGGAGTGTCTACCCATCCTCATTCTCATGAATGGTATAGACAAAGATCCTTATGCAGATTTTTTACAAAAGTAGATTTTGCTACCTATTCTCATCTCATGGGAGATGGGGATCTCATTCCCCACCAATTTATATCAAAATATAAGTTTTATTCTCTAAATATAACCAACTAATATTCAAACACAATAAACAAATATCTAAAGGTTTAAGCACAATTAATTAAAGTTTTTCAAATATAAAATCAAATATAAAATTTTCAAATATAAACAAAGATCAATCTAATTTAATTTAACTAGGTTAATCTAAGATATGGATTGGGTTAAATTACGTAAAATTAGATTAAATTTAATTTTTATTAGGTTAGACTTGAAATGTATTATCTATTGAGTGGA